GGCAGGAAGGAGAATTCTCATATCGCAGACCAGAGTCTGCGATACAAGAAGTCCTAGAAAGATTTTGGAATGGAAATGAAATTTAAGCTTCTTTTAGTGTAAGAAAAGCCGTATATGCCCCTTTTTCTGCACTATGGAGCAGACTTCTGTGAAGTTCTGCTTCAGGACTGTGTAAGTTGTTGGATTTTTCGTCTGAACTCAGAGCAGTGACAGACTTGTGTTACGCAGTGCTGAGCTTTCTGGCTTCAACAAATGTGTCTAGTAAGGGATAAAGCATTCTTTCAGCACAAATAGAAACAATGAGAAAGCTCTTCAGGCTTTCCCCTTTTCAACAAGTTTAATACCTTATTCTGATTCTTCAGTCCATTTGTCACTTCAGTATTTTATCTGCCTCTGCTCCTCTACAACTGAGAATCATTTTTAGTTCCTGGTAGTAGTCTCCAACCATATTTCCTTCAGAGGAATGTGTTTTAATGCGCCACCTCTTTCAAAGGACAAGCACAAATTTAATGCGTTATTGAAGACTTTAAACAGCAGTTTAGCACAGGGAACAAACTTTTATACTAAGTAGCTGAGTAAATGTTACTGGCTTGCATGTTTCAACTAACTTCATGTTTCAAATTGCCTTTGGAAGCCTCCCTTTCTCCCCTAATATTGGGTATTTTTAAGGTTTCTTATTTTGAGCTTAGTTGAGTGATTCACTGCTGTAGTGTATTTACTGTACAGGTTTTAATTATTGATACTGCAGTCATGCAGGTTGCTAGTCAGAAGCCACAGCTTCAGAAGTACGAATTAACAGGGTTCATAACAATAATGTGGTGGTTCCTGGTAGTGGAACTAGGGATTGGGTTGGTTATGTTGTTTTAGGGTATATTGCAGGCAGGAATGTATTTTTGGCAAGGTGAAAATACAGGAGCTTTGTTGCTGAGTACAAGGCTGGTGATATATTTGGTAGTTTAATGTTTGTTAGAAGAAACTGCTGTGCTTAAACTGTTACAAGCTGAAACATGTTGCCATAAGGGTACATCTCTTCAAATTCCTGCTTCTTTGAGGTGGTATGTGTGCTTAGAACAGCTTCCTTGTATGTATTCAAAGGGAATCTGAACGTATTTTTTCTGTAGAAAGTAGGTATTGGTGAACTAAACACCCCCCTGCAGGAAAATTAATTTTCATACCCAGTAAACTTGCAAATAAATTTCTAGAGCATCTTTTGTTTAGCAGGACAGTACTGGTCTTGTGGTTAGGTCCCAGTTGTAATTTTGAGATGCAGCTTCAGTTGCTGATTTTGTAGCCATTACTGTGGCACAACAGTAACCTATTTATTTTATCTGTGTCTGAGATCTTTAAAATGAGTTTTCTTGCTCAAAGATGTGTTTCTCTGAGACTGCATGTATTTACAATGGGATCCCATGATGCGGCAGTGGGGTATGAGTAATAGACAGATATCTGCGTTTTGGAGGATAAAATTTTGCTCTTTGATATTTCTTCCTCTGCCCCATCCCGGTTTTGTAGTGAACCTGTATGTTGCCATAAACCCTGTTCAGGCAGTTTGGTGACAGTGTTCTATTGCATGGCAAAACGTGAGGCCTTCAAAGCTCGGAAACGTATTATCAAGATTCAAAGTAATGTAAGTCATGAATACCATGATTTGTTAGAAATGCACTGTGAGTTGTCATGCTTGTAACTGTTTTTGTAACAAAGAAACAATAATGGCTGTTTCTGCCATTTGTCATCCTGGCTGAAAGAGTTGATTTACATCTGAATGATGAATGACTGTTACCTGTTTAGATTTGTCTAACTGGAAAAGTGAATTAGTGTTCCTTTTCTTTTCTTTGACTTATTTTTTGAAAGATAAGTGTTTAAAAAAATCAAAATCTTTTTGGCATGACATTTTATTCAGTGTAATATTTGATCTATATTTTCATTCAAACCTCCTGAGTCAAGACAAGTACATTTTTGGAGTGCTTTTGCCATGGACCATCTTCTATGTATTAATGCAATATTTGACACAGTGAAACCCTACGTTCTGTATGGAGCCTTCTGGTGCTATCATAAGAATATAAACAAAGGTGTATGTACTGTTGTTATTATAAAATAGATGTTGACTTTAATGTACTTAGAACTTTTACCAACTTATGATTTGCTTTTGCATCTTTATTGTTAATGCAGATACTGAGTAGTGTAGGAAATGCAACATCTCTTCTGCTTATACAAAGCAATGTCTTAAAAGAGCCATTCAGTGTGCCACACTATTCAGTTTATCTAAATTAACACCATTAACTCTTGAGTTGATCCTTCTGTGAATTTTAATATAAGGGATCTCTGCACTTCTACCTTGGTAGTTAATAAGATGTCATTGCAAATAAAAAGTTAATAGTTTCATCCTAATGAAAGCTGTTGGAAATAGACCTTACTTTCCCATTAGCATTGTTTATCTTCATGTGTGTAATAGTACTTAACATTTGTTACTTCATTTTTGCAGAACAGAAGTTAACTGAAATCTATCTGCTATAAAGCTTTCAACTTTGTCCTTTGGAATCCAGTTATGATAAACTCCCTGAATCTTTATCTTTGATTGTAGTTCAAAGGTGATTAGAAGTTCTGCTTGTATAACACCTGCAATTATAGGATTTACACCCAGAAGAAAAGAGTATTTTATATGAATGATTTCTTATTGAAGTTTACTAGTGGAACAACTAATACAGAACAAGGATCAGAGCAGTGCTCATTAGCCTTTTAACAGCTTCAAACCTAGAAGAACGATTTGAGACTAAGCTATTTGAAAACAGCAGATGTAGATTAAACTGAGTAGCTAAGATGGGCAGCAACATTTTATTTCCATGTAAAGCCTTGAGAATTAGTTTGGGTATCAAGATGAAACTGAAGTCAGAGCCGTTTTCTGAGCTTTTTTGACAAACACAATAATAATGTGCAGATCCCAAGGTGTAGGTCTCATAGTTTGTTCTCCCACACAAACTAGGCCCATTATTGGGTTTCATCCCATCTTCCATGGTTGGTGTGCAACATTATGAAAGACTCTTCAGAGCAGTTGTTAATGTTGGTTGGATAAAAGTGTTATCCTCTTTTTTTTTTTTTTTGTACAACATGTTTTCTATTTTTATATATATATATATAGTCCCCCCAATATATGTTTCTGGTATATTCCTTCTCACCAATCTGTCCTAATCTGTAGAGGTTTGGAAATGAAAAAAACCCAAACCCAACCGCCTGCTTTTCCGCTCACCGTTTCTTTGCATTTGTCATGTTTTACCTGCTTGGTACTCTGTTTCTCCCCTTACACCTCCTACAGATAAACCTAGAAGACCCCAGGGAAGGTCCCAAATCACTGACCTCCTAAACCACACAATATGAAGGGCAATGTTGATGCTGGGGATGGGGCTGCATTGGAGCTAGTTGAGTGGAGCAAGTGGGGGTTGCTGATCTCTAGTGTATTTTCCCGGGTGCACAGGACAGCTCTCAGGTGGATTAGCTAACAGCAGAGGCAGCTGGTGTGCTAGGTTATAGGATAGGCCTGTCTCACTACCAGGTCACATGGTGAAGGAAGGGGCCAAAGTGTTAGATTGCAACTGGAGAACGTCATCTACTGTGATGTTGTTTGCAGGTTAACGTGATCCTGGTGCACTTTGCACCCTTTCTCCCAGCCACCAGTAGATGACCAGTTTGGTGGTTCAGTAGATCAGACATAAGCAGAAGCATCTGGCAGGTTTGGGTTGTGGAGCAACTCTGTGGAAGGAGGGGGAACTATGCTGCAAGTAGGACACAGCTCAGGGTCATGGACAGAGAAAGCAGAGCAAATTCTGTGCAAGTCACACTTGGGACTGAAGGAAGGGCAGGAAGCATATGACTGCAAATACTATCAGATTGGGAAGGAATGCAGATTCTTGGGGTGCTATCAAGAAAGGAGAGAGGAGAGGCCGCCACATGGAGGAGAGTGGGAAGGGTGAAGCCCCTTTTGTAGGTAAATTAGAGATACTGTGTTTAGGTCACCAAGGAAGCATAGGACAACAATGCAAAGCCTTTGAAGCAAAGCTTACTTGTAACACAAACCTCTCTGCAAGATTGCATTTATAGCACAATTTCATACCTAATATTGTGTATAATTCCCTACATAATCACTATTTTAAAGCATAACCTGTATTTGAGAAAACATTATTTATAATGTTTTATCCATATTGGATAATAGGTTGCTAAGAAAAAGAGGGTTTTCCTTAAAAACCAGGACATATCATCTGCTTAGCTTTGGTATATTGCTCTGTGATGCTACTTGATGTAGAGACAGCATATGGATTTTCTAGTTGTCTTAAGAGGCTGAAAACTGCCTTTAAAAGACTCTGGAGTTCAGAAAACATTCCCCATGCTAAAGGATTGTACTCCGTATCTAGTGTGTGAGAAAACTCCAACAGAATATGTGGAAAAAAAATCTGTTTAAATTCCCAGTGACCACCTGTTATCTAAAACATATCACTGCATGCAAAATACAGTTTATTAAACAAAAAAGTTAGAAAATTGTGAGTAGCTATAGTAGCAACCATGCAACTCAATATAAGCAGGAAATTGACAGTCCATCTTAAAATCAGATGAGAGATGTGTTTTTAAAATGCATTCATAATCCAGAAAAAATCCTAATAAAGCTCTTGGTGGGCTTCCGCTAACACAATCTTCCACGAACTCAGTACAAATTAAGCTGTCTGATACACTAAATTTTGATGTGACCAGAACTGGTTTCTGTATATTCAAAACATCAATCTAGCTATCAGAACATAGTTAATTATTAAACGTATGTGTATTATCAGGACACCTGACTTCACTGAGCAGGTTAGCATAGTGTACTTCTATTTAAACAGATGATAGAAGGAAAACAGGTTTATAAATTTTTTTGCAGTGTTTTGTTAGGCTAAGAAAAATAATGTAGAATATTCTTACTATCTGCACACTGGTACAGTTTTGACAGTTTCACTGCATTCCAGATTTAATCTAAAATGTCAAGGATCTTGGATCGGAGAATTTTGCTGTTAGTAATTTCATTTTCAGGAAGTCTGCAGAGTACAACAGTACTTTCAGAATGGAAGAAGTGTGGTGATCAGGAATGCGAGAGTAAGTAAAAAAAGTTCGTTGTTTTTAAAAGGAGCCTATAGTGTATGTGCAGTTACTACAAACCATAATGTTGAAATTAGCAATGAAACAGGCTGAAAATCAGTAGCCATAGAAAATGTTTGTTGTCAGTATACTAAGTTTATAAGTAATAGGCTTAAACTTTTCAAATAAAACCAGAAAAAAATACTTAACGGATTGCATTGTGTAAGTACATAAGGATCAAAGTTCAGTAAAAATACTCTTGAATAGCTAGTTTTTCTCAGGTTTCCTCAAAACAGGCAGTACAAAGCAGCTTTAAAGTATTTTAAACTCATTCTTTACGGGTACAAGATAAATGAAAAAAAAAAAAAAAAAAGTAGGCTCTAAGCTAAGAGAGAAGACTGTATGTATGCCTTGGGTTTAGAGTACATTCAAAGCCCATTCCGCAAAACTCTGGTTTTTTCTACTGTAAGCAGAGTGACTGGTTTTACAAAAGACCCTGACAATGTATCTTCTTTACTTATTTTGTCTTCTTCAACATGAATTAAGAGTAGCTATGCAGTTCCTGACGAGTGACAGCTCCGTGGAAGGTGGAGCCACTGAATCACAAGTGGGCAGCGATAAACAGTGCCCCATTTATTATCCATTGATTACCATTAAGAAACCTGTGGTAACCATATGTAGTCAAAATTGTTTCTAAATTGTCTCCATCAGTTTGGCAGTCTTAACTGTAACTTTTTCCATGTGGACAGCTTATCCTGAAGTGGAAGAGACCTTAGATTTCCTCTGCTGATGGATATTTATTTTCAGCCATACTGACTTCAGTGGGTTCTGGATGCTCAGAGAAGTCTTTGTAGAACACCAAGTGAAATGGGCTCCAAACTGACCAGAGCACATGAGTAGTGGAAACTTTGTTTTGATGTGTTTACAGTTTATAATGCTTAAACTTACCTATTTTCTTTATAAGACAAATTCATTCAATATAGAGGACAAAATCCCTGGAATAAATACCAGCTGTAACTTAGAATTTCTAAAATACATAAACATGCCTGGGAAATGTATTTTTTTAGCTGTTTAGATCTGGCTTTAGTAGTTGAACTTGCTAATTCTCCACATGTGTTTTGGCTTTGAAAGCTTTGCTGAATAAGGATGGGAAAATGCCCATATAGGACAAGTGCTTTTCTTCCTGATGTTGTAGTAAATAGGAAAGACAGGACAGGCCTTTTTGCTTGATGATATAAATGCATTAGTCTCAACAAAGCACACTGATGTATTAACAAACATTTTAATGTATTTATATGTATCAAACTTCTTCAGTAACCTGTTTAATTTAATGGCTGCTATACTTGCTTCATTCTTCCTATGTACTTTTCCAGTGGCAATGAGCAGAGTTCACGCCACTACAGACTACTCAGGGCCTGACTGCCGGTACCTTAACTTTGAAACAGGGGAAGAGATCATGGTATACTCCAAACTCTCAAGGAAAAATGAAAACTTGTGGACAGGAAGTGTAAGTACTTCAATCTGAAAGACTTTCCCCATCAATAATTTAGCTAATATAATGACAGCGTAACAACTGCGGTCTGCTTGCTTCTAGGAATCTTCCATCTCTTTTATAATATTAACCATCAGTTAATATTATAGTCAGTACAGTATTTGGGAGATGGGTCAGTGTTGTTATCTTTATATAGAAGGGGAAGATCAAATCTTGGCAAAGGTCACTCATGGAGAAACAAAGTCAGGATCAGAATCCAAGTTTTCTGTCTCCTTCCTTTGATCATTTGGCTATAACGATTTCATCTGGTTCCCTTAAAAACATTCAGGTCTACCAGGTCAGATGCCTACCTACAGGTGTGAGCAAGGTTTTTCAGTCACTTAGCAATCCAATACTGGGACCTGACTTCACAGTTCAGTGCTCAAGGAAAGTTCTCAGGAAAGTTATCATGCATACGTAATGATTTGGAACAATTGCCAATGTACAAACAATGTACAATGTACAACAGCCATGCAGTTATGCTACAGCTAAGAAGGAATAGATGCATTGATCCAAATCCAACTGCTAGTAAAACTGTCACTCCTTCAAATCCAGAAGATATTGGTAAACGTTTTTTCTTTGTAAATGATCTGTCACGTATATTGTGTATGAAATTCTGTCTTCCTTTTTTTCATCTGAGAGTATCTTTGCAGGTACCTCACTATTCCTTGCTTTCCAAGTTGTATTCCTCTATTTAAAGGCTGTGTGCAATGGTTTGATGTAAAGCTAGTGGTTGTCTTTTTGGTAGGACTGACTTTTATTTGATTCTTCTGTGCATTATCGTGAACTTTCTGTAGTGTTGCTGTCTTCTTGGCATTTTCTCTTCAGCTGCAGCTGGCCTCGCACCTGAATTTCATATCCTACTTTTCTCGTAACTTGTTATGGGTCATTACTTGCTAAGGCACAATTTTTCTCCCCCTTCAGTCAATGGGGAATTTGTAGCCAATTTTAGTAGAAGCTGGCTGAGCCCATCTGTGCTCACAATACTGTCTTCACGTGAAGCAGTGTTAAGGCTACTGGTTTGGTTCTGGCAAACACGTGTTCGTTAATATAATACAGAAACTAATATTATGGATTAATATACTTCCCTTTGCTGTCTGAAATGGCAAATGGAACACTTCTGTGAAGGAAAAATAAAATAGTCTTTTGACCAAACAAAATTAAAGGGGATAGGGAGCAGCCCTATAAACTTAGTGTCTATTCATACTTTTCTAGCATGAATGCAAGCAGCTACCATACTTATCACTGAAGTTCAAATGTTCTCATTTCTTTTATATTTTTTTACAGAAAGGAAAGGATTTTGGGTATTTCCCAAAAGATGCTGTGAAGGTTGAGGAAGTTTTTATTGCAGAAGAAGTGGAAGTGCTCACTAAGGTAAACCAATATCATCAGATTTTCCAATGTAGTTCACAGCAATTGAAAATCTAATCTCCAGGTAGAAATTAAAGTGTCAATGTGTATTTTATTTCAGATAATTCAAAACATGTTTTTTCATTATTGCTCCATTTGCATGTTTATTGTCCTCTGAAGTAATTTTTACCTAATATATAGAACTACTAGGAATAATGTGATTACTTACAGGTCTTTGTGTAAAGTTATATGCATGTATAACTACACAGAAACGAGAAGAATAAAGATATTGCTGTGCTACACAGCTGTAGAAAATTACACATGAAAACATTTTAAAAGTTGGTATTGTTCTTTTAGGAAACTGATTTCCTTTGTCTTCATGGAGATAAGTATGCTTATGAAAACGAAAACAGTGCATTACATGATCACAACAAAGAAAGAGAATATCCATCATCTGATGCAGAATCAAAGTGGCATGAAAATGAACTCTTAAAATATACAAGAGAATCTATGCAAAAGGAAGAAACAGTTGAATCAGTTTCTGAAAATGATTCCAAGGAATCTCACACTCAGGAGGAGTCTGCAAGCAAAGAGTTCTTTAGAAAAAATGAGAACAGCAGACATGATACTGAAGAGCCACAAATGCAAAAGAGTTTTCCAGTAGAACCCATTCCAACTCAGTCCAGTTGGATTACAGGATGGTTCACCACAGGAAATACATATGATGGAGAGTCCTTAAAAGCCACTACAGAACCTTCAGGAGAAAATACGTACCGAAGCAGAAAAATAATGGTAACTGCCGAAAATGATTTAGAGGAGCCAAATGATAAAGAGGAGCAAGAATCCCCAGCATCTGCTTGGTTTCAAGGTGGACTGACAGACTTCCTGTATTTTGGTGAAGAGAATGTAGATGTTGGTTTGGCATCCAAAAAAAAGGATCTACAATTCCATGATGTTTCTGGTATGCCTGAACTTTCCAGTAATGAACAGGAAACAGCAGTCACAGAGTTACTGACAGAAGAAGAAAAGAGTGAAAGCCGAGAATCTGGATCAAATTGGTTTAATTTGGATTTAATTCATGTTCTTAATTTTGTCCATGCTGAGAAAGATGCAATTGCTGTGCAAGACGAGCAAAGCAGAGAAACAGAGGATGAAGCAAATAAGAATGAAGTGCAGACTTTAGACCAGAAAGAATCACACATGGACAAAAGATCTAAGGAGACAGTCAAAGCAGTGACGGGTGAAGATGATGAAGAGAACTACACACAAGAAATAATAGATTCAAACATGTCAAATCCTGGGGAGATACCAGCAAATGTGCATACTCTTAATGCCACTAAAAGCACAGAATCATCTTTTGATACACCAACAGGTGTCAAAGAGGAGCCAATTGAACCTTATGGTTCAGAACAAGACTTGGTATCAGAAAGCCAACTGCTGAAAAACACTGAAGCTAAAAAGAGAAATCAGGAGTCAGAAAGCAAATATGGACAGTCAGGTTGGTATACAAATATCTGAAATGGCTTTGTTAATTGTAACATGATATATATATATATATAAAATACATGATAATCAGTAGGCACATGAATTAATTGCATAAAATCAGATTTCTTCTCCTAGCCCACCTCAGAATTGTGATCCCACAGACACAAAAAATACAGAAGAGAAGCCTCGCATAGCTGAAGAACAGAGCCATTTCTTCTCTTTCAGTCATTTTGCAGACATACAGAAGTTCAACAGCCAAAGAGAAACAAGTGCAGAATTTGCTAGATGATGTGTTTTTCAGTGAAGAAACCCTTCAAACTGAAAATTATGGTAACATATCACAAGGAAATAGTAACAGAGCAATGAAAGTATAAGTAAGTCAGAGAGTTAGGAGCTGTCTGAAGATACGGGTGCAATCCAAGAAAGCAATCTGTTTTCCTCACTAGCTGTGCAAAATAATGAACACAGTAATGAAAAAGCAAAACATTTTGTCAAATTAGTTTAGCAATCGTGATGCTTCACAAATGTTATCTGTTTGTTGTGTTTTAACCCCAGCTGGTAACTAAGCTGCTAACACAGCTGCTCGCTTGCTCGCTCCCCTCCACCCACCTGTGGGATGGGCAGAAGAATCAGAAAAAGGCAAATCCTGTGTGTTGAGATAAAAACAGTTTAATAATTGAAATAAAGATAATATGATGATGAAAAGGGAGATAACAGGGAAGAAGGAAAAACCCCAATAAACCCAAGTGATGCACAGTACAGTTGCTCACCACCCACTGACCAATGTCCAGCCCATCCCCGAGCAGCAATTGGTGGTTCCTGGCCAACTTTCCCCTGTTTCTATACTGAACACTACTTTCTGTGGTTTAGAATATTCCTTTGGCTACTTTGGGTCATGCTCCCTCCTGCCTTGTCGTGCCTCTCCTCACTGGCAGGCCATGGGAAACTGAAAAGTCCTTGACTTTGAGTTAGCACTGCTTAGCAACAACTAAAACATCAGCATGTTATCAGTATTATTCTCAGACTAAAGCCAAAACACAGCACTGCACCACCTAAGAAAAATAACTCTATCCCAGCAGAAATCAGGACACTGTTGGAACAGTAGTACAACCTGAAGTATCTCAGAGACAGTATGTACCCTTGTTTAGATTCCAGTGCTGAAGAAAATGTTTCTAAGAGTAGTGAAAGTCAGGAAAATACCAATATAAAAGGTTATTGTAACAACCCTGTCTCCAAAGAGTCCCTACATTTACTTTCAAAATTAAATTTTGAAAATAGAGTGAAAACTGGAACTCATCTGCAGGGAACATAAAAAATGAAACTTTTTAAAGAAAAACCCCAAATCCCTGAACACAAGTATTCAAGAATCTGTAAATTCAGAAAGCAAATTACAAAGTTACAGAGAAATACCAAGAACTGCAGATAATCATTTGTGCATCAAGAAGACCTAGTGAACCAAGTCTTACTCTGGAAACATCTAAGCATGGCAAAGCAGTTGAATGCTGTTTAAATGCCAGTTACGCTTTCTGTCTTTTGACTATTGGACTATTTGTGGCATCTTTGGCCAGTACTGTCATGAAACACAGAATTTTTTGTTACGGAAAACTTGTTACCAAATGAATCAATTTGTAAGTGGTTGGGGTTTTTTTTTTGGTTTTTTTTTTTTGTTTGTTTGGTTTTGGTTTTTTGGTTTTTTTTAAAGCAGTATTTTATTGGCTTCAGGAAATTTACTCCAAATCACTGAAACTGAGGCACTGAGGTGCCTTCAGTGATACTTCCCCATGAATATGCCTGTGGTTTCTTGTACTTCGCAGTGAAGTTTGTTATCTTGTGGGAAGTTGTTAATCTTTAATCCAACATGGCATTTTTAATTGTTGTTTTTGTAAAGGTTTTCCCAGTTGTATTTGGGACAATGTAAGAAAGAGATCTACTAATCCTGAACAGGGAATCTATAGGTTAATTATCAAAACTAAGCAGATGTTTTCTTGAACAAGTTTTGCTTTTAAGCTTTAGCTTTATCTTCCAAACTCTGCTGAGACCACTATTTGAATAAGTATTTCTTAAATCGTAAATCTGTAGCATATTTTTACTCTCATGTAGCACTCTAGTGCTTGCCTTTGAGGAAAATACAAGTAAAAAATTAAAATCTTGGTAGAGGTTAATATCTTACAAAAGTGTCTGTGCCTAAATTGAATCCTCTGAAAATAAGCCTGATTTCCCTTCACAACTATTTGCAGGAGTAGGCAGTAGAAGAAAGCTACTAGAAGAAACACCAGAGAAGGAATATGAAATGATTGCAGCTGTAGACAGTGAAGGCAACAGTGACCAATATTCAAAACCAATAGTGATTCCTTCAGAAAATTCTGAAGAAAAAATGGACAGTTTAGTAGTTGACTCTCCATTTGATGTTGAAAAGTCCTTCTCAGATGCCATCCAGAACTACGTTCCAAGTAATGGTAAGCATTAAGTTTCTTAATTGTAAGAAAAATAAAACTGCAATATTAAAAAGAAAAAAAAAGTTGTAATTATATTGCCAATTGTAATGTAAAATCTTTTTTTTTTCCTCCTTTTTTTTTTTTACATATGAACAAACCAGGAGGCTGGATGTATCAGGCGCTTCTGTGCTTGAATGATCTTGAGATCATGGAATCAATCAAATCTGTATTTTCAGCAGTAATGAGTGCTATCAAAAAGGTAAGAATTCTTTATGTGATGGTGTTGACATTAATGCAACATTAAGCCAGTTATTCGTTATGTTCTGCAATGAAACTCCTAAAAAAAAAGAAAAAAGAAAAAAGAAAAAAGAAAAAAGAGCCTTTTAAATAAACCCTTTGCAGTCCCCTTGCTTCTAGGGGGGAGGCTAAATGAGATAGAACAAGAAAATTTCAGGTTAGCTGCTATTCATCTGCCTCTGTCATTGGAACTGCAGAATCTGATGACCTTAGTGAGTTGGGTTGTTTCATATAACAGCCAAGGAACACCTTGGTGGTCAACATACCACCTTTTTTGTTGTTAATTGTTTCTGTTTTAATGAAAGTCAGAGCTACCTCTAGCTCCCATGACTACTGATTAGATTTACTCGGACTTAGGAAATCTGGGTTAGGATGAGTAAAATAACTAAAATACTTCCATTGTCTTTAAAAATTTCAAAGTGTTCATTCCCAAATATCCCCGTAATTCAAACCTGCATAAAAAACACTTTTGTAAGGAAATATATAAAATACAAAATGGGATTATGAGTGCTACAGGGATGTTTTAAATATCAAAATGTAAAGACAGAGTGAAGGTGAACCTTACTGGACATAACTGCACAAGAAATAGTGTAAGAGGCATGTGAGGAAAGGTAGACAGTGTTACACTGCCACCTCTAAAAATAAGAGTAATAGCAGGTAAAGTGGTATATGGCAAACAATTAATTTTGGTACTTTGGTTTGTTTTGACTGAGTAACTGAAGTTTAACCACCCATGTGAATTTGTTCCTGATTTCCAGTGTATATACATAGATTCTGGCTAAATTTTGCAACCTAGGCGACAACAACTGAAGAGGTTTGCTTTTCTTTTTCCTCATGGTCTGGATTTCAGTGCTCACTGCTAGCTCACTGTTACGGCCAAACTCATTCTTGTATGGTTTGATATAGCTAAAAAAGCCACTTCCACCTTCTACCGATCACTGTCTCTTAAGCAGTACCAGCTTCCCAGGCAAGTCACACACCTGCACTGTGAATACTGTGTTAGCATACTTTAGAAAAGAGAAAAAAAAGTGCAGTTAAGTACAAGTAAAAAAAATCAAGGAAATAAATATAATAGTCCTAGTGAGTAAGATGAAAAGACCCCGCTGCTCTGTGGCACTGCAGCTAGTTTCTCCTATCCCTCCCTCCGTTTGTGTGCCAGCAGCCCCAGTACGATCAGTTTTCCACACAGAAACTCAGCAGAAGGGATC